CACACACACACACACACACACACACACACACACACACACACACACACACACACACACACACACACACATCTGTGCGCCAGACTGCCCGGTCTTTACATTCCTGTTTTTGGACAGTCTGGAATCCACGTCTCTTAAAGGCAAATGTGACCTGAGGTAGCAGGAGAAGAATGCTCAAAGTGAAAATGTTTCATCTTGTACACAAAAKTACATACAAAAATAATACAAAGAAGCAGATAATTATGTCATAAAACTATATTTATAAATAAAAAGTCATTTTCCTTGATAAAAGTAGTGTGAAAGACAAGATTTTTTTTCCACTTTACATTATCACAAGACTGAAGATTTTCTGGTTAGCAGATGGAAATTTAACAAATGTAGTGTAAAAAATTACTCTTGGAGCTAAAATGTTCATGTTAAACTTTTAAAAATGAAACTAGTTTTTGACCAACTATGCATATAACAAATGCATTTTTTCAGTAAAAAAAGACTGCAACCCTACATACAAAAGTTTTGATCTTTCTTATGTCAAGCATATCTCTTAAACATCTGAATAAAGGTTATTGTTCACTTCAGCTTTGTACGTTTTGTTTTCTTGATAGAGGTCAGCAAGTGGGAACGAAAAACGAGAGAAACCTTTTTTCTCTCTCAGTTTTGACGTGGACAAGGGTGGGGGAAGGACAAAAAAACAGATAAAGAATGGGAGAGGTAGGAGTACAGAGCAGAACAAATCAAAAACATCCATGTGGAAATGCGCCGAGTCATCTTCTCAGTTTTTAACTAGACAACCCTGCTCTCCCCTTAAACAAACTTTTCCCCTCTGTGAAGCAGACACTGAGAAAGACACTTTGGTTCCGTGTTGAGTGAGGGCGTTTCTTCACTGAAGAAAGTATGGGAATTATTAAAAGGAGGAGAAACACAGGGGAGGATGAGCATTTTTTTCTTAGCATGCAAGACTGGGTTGGTTCCATTTCTGCTTTAGTGTAATCAAGGCCTTGGGTTTTAGCTTTATGCTATCTTGACTGCTTCTTGCTCTGCCACGTCGTCCTTCTTATCCTTTTGGCAAAACAATATCAAATCTGCTACTTTGTTATCCAACTACAACCCAATGTCACATCACATCAACAAAGAACTCTCCAGCGTTGCCCACAGCCATACGCAGAGACTGACGTGAGGCCGTAAGCTCAGGGGGCACAGAGGTTATCTCTCTGCCTTGAGGGGCGCCAGGTGCAGCAGTAGACAAATGTGCGGGCTGGGGGGGGAGGCCTGGGGGGCCATAGACGAGGCCAGGCCCAAAGGCCATAGAGTGGGAGTTGACGCTGCGATGGCTGAGGGAGCTCCGGATGCTTCGCTCACTGGGGGGCGCCGCTGAGCGCTCACTTGGAGCTCGGTGGCTCCTGATCTCCGATTCGCTGCCACTGCCGCCAGACTTCCGACCCTCGTTCTTGCTGCAGTTGGAACCGCTGCTTCCTGTTAAAAGAATAAAAGACTATTGTAATCCTGAAGTGAAATGCAAACACAAAGGCATCCTATCACTGAAAAGAACTACAGATTTAGTTTTATTACCACATGTATGCTGTTTGCTTTAAAAGGAGGCCCTTAACTGTGATGAGGTAATGTTATTACCACTTGTATGATTGCATTGTTAACTCTGTTGAACAACGCAAAATCCAAATACAAATATTGAACTTAAGAACCGTGCATGAAATAAGAAAAAAAAGAAGGAAGACATTTGTTATTTAAAAACTGATTTGTTTTACCAGTAAATTATTCACAAGGAAGTGTGCAACCACAAAAAGTGAAGACAGCACAAGTGAGATGTTGTGTCGGTGGGTCCAGCTGTTGTTAGTCAGTAAATACCCCACAGAGTAAGCAGTCTGCTCATGAAACCACAAAGCCTACTTTTCTCCCCAAGCACACTAAATACACAAAAATCCAGCCTATAAAAATCAGCAGTGTGGGGGTTGTAAAGAATATTCTTCACTTCTAATAAACTGTCCTGCAAGTACACAGTTACTCAAAAACTGAATAAATGGATTTAGAAAAAAACCTAGCATTCCTTGAAGGAACTCATTACTTGCTGCCTTTCATGCCAAAGTTTTAGAATAACACCCAAAGGTGACGATTTAGTCAAAATTTGAAAATAACAGCATGCAATGCTGTGAGATGTCATGCTCAGAGTATGTCTTGTAAACGATTCTCAGCTACTACATCAAATATTAGCTCAAGATCTATAAAAACAACAAATTTATAGTCTTTTATAGTAGTTTTGTGTTGGCTAAAGTGGATTATCTGTGGTGGCGACCCTGAATTGAGATGGCTCCAAAAGTTAATCAGTTGTAAATGTATATCTAATGATATCATTTTTAAAGTTTCAATACAATCCATTTAGGGGTTCATGAGGTATTTTGCTAACAAACTGGGTTGACTCCAAAAGTTAAAGCTTCAAGTTTTAAGGGAAGATGTTAAGCAACGAGCAGTGATTGCAGTACGTGTTGTGAATGATTCTCAGCTAAAACCACGACCAGTTTTAATCAGAACATCTGTAAAGTTGACTGAGATGGAGCCATTTCTGTTTTTGTTTTAGCCGTTAGATGTACACCTGTTGGTTACTTTCTGCAAGCTTCATTAATATTTGTTCTCTGGCTGAGAGATTTTGGTTATAGACAGAAACAAAACACGCTCAGACACACAAAAACTGCATTATTACACACCTTCGCCTTTGAGCAGAAATTGATAAAAAAGTAAGCTCTCATTTTTGAGTTGAATTTTTGAAAGAAAAATGTTGCTCAAGCTGCTCAACATGAATCAGTATATAAAATGTACAAATGACACATTTTACAAACTTAGTGAGTCATTCCTGCCTACAGCAATAAATGTAAACAATGTCCTTATTTACCCAGAAAACACAACCCTTTATGATATTTTTTCCCCCATTCAAGTGTGTTGTTTTAGCACTGTTGCAGTTGTAGTAGTCATATTTGTTTCTTCTACACATTATTTACCAATGAATTTCTTTCTCCATATAAGCTCTTTTTCCATATTAGCTCTTTGTCCAGAGCTATTGTTGAGAAATATGTTTTAGTAAAACCTGTTTAACAGCATATAGTATATCTGCATCCCACAAACAGCAGCGGGAAGGAAGATGCAGCAGTTTAACTACATTTTCACAAAATAATAAAGTTTTCCCTTAATGCATCATCACTAAAGTGAATTTAATCAATATTGGTTTTTAGCATTGAAAATTAATTAAATTAAACAGTTTATTTTTAAAATATAACATTTAACAGGATATTCTTAGATACTAAAACTTTTTTTTAATTAAAACCTCTCAGTTTGTGCCTCTGATGAGCACATATAGCTAAACTCACCACTGTGCTGGCTCCCTGCGCTGCCAGCGCCTGGCCCGCCAAGGAAAGGCTGGGGAAGGTCGTAGGGATGGGGAATAGGAAACTGATAAGGAAGGGTCATAGGCCAAGGAGCTGCCCCTGGGTGAGGCAGAGGAGGTACGGTGTCCTGGTCTGAGGCACCCCCACTGGAGCCATCGTGGTCATGGAGGGACAGGTGGGTCATATCTGAAAAAATAATTAAAAATTTTAAAAAAGGAAAGAAAATTTGTATTTCAACTTCTATAATTTCACAGTATTCTTGTAAACATTTGTTTTATATATGAGAGAAAAAAAACATCAGCTGACTTGGACTATATCATGGAAAACTTTGGGGACACTTTGTTTTTATAGCGACAGACTCTAAAGCTGTCAACTCACTGCCGCAGAGGTCTCCAAAGATATAATAGCACTGTTCAGAAAAGGTGATCTTGTTGACAGTGTGTCGGATGTAGCCAGCTTTCAGCAGATTGCTCGCATATTTCCGTGCTTCACGGCGGTCTGAGAAGCCTTCGACGTGGTGAAAGAGCCAGTCCACCACATCAGAACCTGAGGAGGCGATAACACAACTGGAAGATTACTTAAATGACCCTGCCAGGGACAGAAATCCTGATTCGGTTTTGCATTAATTTTTTTTATTGGTGTATTTCTTTTGATTAAAGTGTCTTACACACAGGTTTCTGAAAACTTCCTCAGATTTTACTGTATTTTGTCAAATTACATTTGCTGTATAATTTATACCTCGATTTCAGTGATTTTAAAACTATGCTGTAAAATTACCCTGACATATTAAAGATTAATTGTAACATTAGACTTTATTTGACAAACATTTATTTTAACTATAAAATAAAGACTGTAAAAATACTGTAAAAATATATTTTAACACGGATGGAACCATTTTATTTACACACAAAGCATTCTGGGTAAATGATGACGTGGATAGGTCCTCAGTGCGAGGTTGCTAGCAAGCTATAGCCACCCTGAAGGTTAATCTTGGACAATATCTGACGATCGACTCTTTTAAATGAAACCAGAGAGCGTTGACAGAGAGGAGAAGGTAGAAATGACTCAGCCTGTAACTGAAAATATGGATGGAGGACAACAGAGCTGCTTCATGGAAGAAGAACCCCAGCTTAGCCTGTTAGCCTTTGCACTAACACCAACGCTATTTTGCCTTATATGTTTTAGCTCAGCGTTAGCACAACAAACAAACTAAACTGAGGTCCTCCATCCATATTTTCAGCTGCAGTCTGAGTCATTTTTGTGTTCCCCTCTCGTCATGTGGATGGAGGACCTCAGTGACGAGAGGAGAATTTGTAGCGCTGAGCTAATACATATATATGGTGATAGCATCTGGGCTAATCCTAAAGATAACAGGCTAAGCTGAGGTTCTTCTTCCATGAAGCAGCTCTGTTGTCCTTCATCCATATTTTCAGTTACAGGCTGAGTCATTTCTACTTTCTCCTCTCTGTCAACGCTCTCTGGTTTCATTTAAAAGAGTCGATCATCAGATATTGTCCAAGATTAACCTTCAGGGAGGATATAGCTCGCTCACACCGAGAACCTATCCACATCATCATTTACCCAGAATGCTTTGTGTGTAAACAAAATGGCCCCATCCATGTAATATATTTTTAAACTTTTAGTTTAAAAATGATAAAAACTGAACATCCTACAGTATTTTTAGTCTTTATTTTACAGTTAAAATATATGTTTATTAAATAAAGTCTAATATTACAACTAATCATGGATCCCTTTAAGAAACCTAAAAAAAGACACTTAGGGACCCCAAACCCATTTACAAAACATCAATGCAAATTTACAAGTACATACTAATGATGATGATCACTGCATTGATTAACATACCGATAAAGGCGTTAGCGATGGTTATCTTGAGCCACATCCTGTCCCGCACCTCCAGTCCTGACTCTGGACAGGCCATAGCTTTAGCAACCGTTGCCATGTCGCTGTGGATTGAGAGATGGAAGTCATCGAATCCTACGAGAGAGAAGATACGCTCTGTTTTTGAATATCTAGTTTTTAGAAACAAATGTTCGCTATTTCCATTGTGCCTCAAACTGCGACGCCGACAAAACTGCTGAAGCACACATGAAAAGATGTTGTCAAAAGATGTTTTGCTCATGATCAAAATAACAAGAATATTATTTTTAAAAGGTCTGTGCGAGGATTAAGAGCATCAAGTTCTGATTTTAAACACACAAATATTATTGACAGGTGACGGTATGTTTTATGGAAGTGCAAATTTTTTTTAAAAAGCCCACATAAGTGACTTTAACAGTATGTATTTATTTATTTATTTAACTCTTTTTAATCCAGGTAATTGTTTGAGAACCACTCATTTACAAACACGTGACATAACATACCTGGTGACCTGGTAAAAAGAGATGTGCTTTTAAAAAAACAGCATAACTTGTTAACATTCATTCTTTACAATCAAATAAACAAAGTTTGTAAATCAAACAACTAAAATTAAACTATAAACCTAAAAATATCAAACAATTTCTCTAATGCACATAAAGCAGTCTGGTGACTCTGTTTGCATTTTCCAAACTAATTTTGGAACAAATTCAGTAACATTTTACAAAGCTAAAAAAATATTTATCAAAAGAATAAAGAGTGTTTGGCTTTAATAAATCTGGAAATACTTGTAACGCATATGCAACTGATTACACTTCATCATCCAACTTTTTTTTTAAATGACGCAAAACCCAGCTGAAAATAATGAATAATACAAAGCATATGAATAAAGTCCCAGATTAGTCATAAAAGACAGGAGACTGCAATTCGACACCAACTAAATACTTAAAAAAATAGGAATTTTAACACTTCTAACGGTGTATGATTGGATAAAACATATGTTCTGTCTGAAATGGAAAAGCTAAAATGTGCAAATCATATAAGCTGGAAGAAAAGCATATTCAGAGAGGAAACATTTTTCTGGAGAAATGAAGCCAGAACATCCCTGTCAGTTGTTTCCAAAGATTACAGGGAAGATTAAACTTGTGAGTTATGACCCAGTTTGGACGAGGGTCATTGAGCAGATGGGTGCAGTGAGGCCCAAAGCTGGAACACAGAGCCGTTGAAGGAATGAAGTTTAAGGGCGAGGCCACACTTAAAAACTCACACTAAACTTTTGTATCAAGATCAAACCTAAAAACCTAAAATCTCAAACTTCAAAACGAGGCACATACCACGAGGATTACGCAGAATCTGAAATTAAAGCGATGACAGTTGTTTTAAATAAAAGTGCCTCCATAACAAGCTGCAACAGGCAGCTGCAGGGGGTGACATGACTCACGCTCAGTTTCAGGGATCGAGCTGCTGATGGAGGAGCTGGTGGATGTGACGGTGCTCATGGAAGGGCTCATGCCATAAGGAGGGTAGACCCCAGTCATAGCAGCAGTGTGGGACACCCACGCAGCTGGGTCAATGGGCCGGATGGGCTCACCTGTTAGGTGCAACAGAAGAAAAGCCATTGTTGTTGCTGAGTTTACTGTGTAGGGGTGTTACCCACTCTTACAACAAAGTTATAAGGAAATTGTTTAGCAAGGATCTCTTATTTTCGGTATCTCTAATGTGCAAAAATGAATGGACAAAACACAATAAGTGACTTTCTCAGTGAATTCTGATTTGATCAAATAAATGATCTCTTTTATTATTAGATCAAACTAAATTCAATGAGTCACATTCATCTTATTGTGTTTTGTCATTCAATTTCGCATAAAGATATTTCCTGAAAATAAGAGAACTCGTGAAAATTTCCTTATAACATTCGTTATAAAGTGTATATCACTACATTTGTACATATGTACAGCACTACATTAAAAATAGAAATTATCCAAATATCTGGCAGTTTTCTTGGTTTCACAAGCACTTTTATTGAATGATATTAAAAGTGCAGGATCAATGTATAAGTTTAGGAGAATGGTAAAATCCAGTCTGTTGAAGAAATATGAAATGACAAAATATCTATCCTTAAAAATTGTCTGAGAAAGATTTTATTTTTAATTATTTTTTTTTTTTTTTTTTTTATCATTGTTTGAATTTCTTTTGATGGAAAAAGGCGCAGATATTACAAGATTTTTTCTTCCTTCTGCTGCCTTTAATTTTATTTTTCATTTGTATTTTTTTGCATACTGAATTGGCTTTGTTTTTAAATGAATGAATGAATAAACTAAACTTACAACATTTACTTGCACTCATTCACTTGAATACGATTAAAAAAATATTTTTTATAGTGTTGTCCCCTTCAAAAAACACACTGCCATAAATATGACAGAAGCGATAAGGGGGACTTCATCTCTTGCCCCCAAAACACCTTTAAACTGAAATTTAAAAATAAAAAGAAAGAAGAAATTACTCACTTCGGGGCAGAGCAAAGCAGCTTCGGGGGTTTGGGTCCCAGCATTTTGCAACAGTGAGAGTAATGGGGCTGGTAATAAACACAGAGAGTTACCACTAAAAACACTGAAAATACCATTAGTTCCCATTTTATTAAACTTTGGTTTTATGGATGTAATTATCTTGTGTGTATTTGCAGCTGACCCTGGTTTGTGCACAATGTCCCGTAGTACTCTGACCGCATCGTCGTTACTCATATTCTCAAAGTTTATGTCGTTCACCTACGAGAGATAGAGAGACATAGAGTGAGAGAGAGATAGAGAGACACAGAGAAAAAAAAGCAGAAATTACATAATGTCTCATATTATGTGTACTCGTGTAAAATTCAGTGACACAAGGAACGGGTCTACTCTATAAATGATTTTCTACAACAGTTCCTCAGCTATGCCAATAAATCTCACTCAACGGAGTCATTAATTGGACTGGGACCATCTCAACAAGGGGTAGCATGTAAAATTTTGAGAAGGGATTTTTCCATATAAACAGTTTTACAGCATAATAACCTGCAACTAAAATAACAGCCAGGAAGAGAATGAATGCACGCAGTGAAAAGAGAAACAGACTGTGAAAAAACAAATGCAGAGTAAAAATCTAAAGACGCTCTGCCAAACGCATGCAGCATGAAAATGACATAAGCATGGGGGAAAAAAAAACAAACAAAAACAAAGAGAATTCACATTACCAAGTTCAAATACAGCATACACAATTATCTGTTCAGTTTTAAGATATGTATTCAAATTATTGTGTAAATCTGTATGCTCTTCTTTCTGTCTGTTTACTTAAACAGACCTGTAACAGCATGTCCCCAGGCTCTATACGTCCATCTGCAGCCACAGCTCCTCCCTTCATGATGGAGCCGATGTAGATGCCCCCATCTCCCCTCTCGTTACTCTGACCCACAATACTGATGCCCAGGAAGTTGTATTTCTCTGCGAGGTGAAGAAAAAAAAATACATTTAGAAGTGAAGAGAGGAAGAAACAAAGTCAAAAAAACAATAAATGTGATCTTTGCCTGCATCTATCAAAACAAAAGTTTGCATTGTAAAATAAATTTGCCTCTTAAAGTTACGTTCCTAAATCCATTTTGAAAAACAACATTTTGTGTGGAATTCAAAGGAACCAGGGACTTACCCATGTTGAGCGTTACAGTGATGATGTTCAGCGACATGGTGGAATCTGTGATGCTGCTGAATGATGAAGACTGGAGGAGAGGTTTTAAAAAACAAGAATTAAACATGGCTTTGACTGATTTGATGTCCTTTACGTTAGCGTGGTGTCTCACCCTGTCCATGTTAGACGCCTTCGGTTTCCGCCGGCGGCGGCGGTGTCGTCTCATTAGTCTAGATGAGCTCTGCTCAGTCGAACTACTGAATCTAGAGGCAAACAATAGAATTTCTGCTAGATTACTCAAACCCCTAAGTACCTCATTTTTCACAATTTTGACTATAAAGTAAAACAACACAAAATAAAAAGGACATTTTAATTTAAAATTTACAACCTGACATGTTTATATTAACATTTCTTCAAATGTAATCTATGCATTTTATTTGTGTGTTGTGGGAATATGCCATCAAAACTTTAAAGCAATAAGACAAAAACTAAATATTTTGATAACCTGTTAAATATCCAAATATTAAGATTTTTAACATTGTACCTTGAATGTGAACGAGAGGGTTAATACAAAACCAAACAGCTAACCATTCCTACATCAACACCTGAAGCAGCACAGCTGTATTAAACATCTGACCTGCTGGTTGCGTCATCGTCCTCTGAATCGAAGCAGGAAGTAGACTCCAGCTCGCTGCTCATGAAGGATGAGCAGCTGTCGTACTCGGCTCCTCTGCGTCCCATCGCTCGGGGAGTGTATCCGTTCTGTCTCCCACCTGCAGCAGGAGCACATTAAAAATCACAAACATGAAAATTAAAGTTGTGGTAAAAACACAAACTACAAAAATGTGCACTATAAACCGATGTTTACCAAAGTACAGATGCACACCTCGACTTTCTCTTATTTTGATTTAACTTGATTTAGTTCCACTTTGACAATTTTGAACTATTTTCTCATCAAATATATCTGCTCAATATCAAAGTGTCTAATAAAACGTAAATTCAAGCTCTTGTGAACTTAACCTGAGCATAAATTTGTTTGTGTCTATTTGTTGGCAGTTTTCCCATAGAGGATGGATTTGTTAAACAGTTAAACATTTGCAAAAACTGAAGTGCTTTCATATATTTAATCAACAACGTGGCTGAACTTAGTGAGATATAAGAAAAGAAGAAAAATAAAACCATTGTGTCCGACAACAACACAACAAAGAGCACACATCTCTCTGACCGTGATCGTTTGTGTGCTTCCGTCTCGGCCTCTCCCTCTCTCTCCTTTGCGACGCCATGGAGCCGGTTTCTGTGTCATTGTCCAAACTGTCCCGCCCGCTCGCTGCCTTCCCACTTCAAACAAAAGAGAGCACAGGATTACCTTTAATCATTGTCAGAGCAGCTGAGTTTGTCTAACAGCTATTAAAGCAAAGGTTTAGTTTAAAACCCCCCTTGGTAAAATCTGACTGCAGTCTGCTCATTTTGCAATATGAAGCAGAATATTTGGCAGGATTTAGAGACGTGTTTATTGGTGAGCATTTAAATTCCTGAATATCACTTGTGTAATCCAAACAAAGAAAAGCGCTCTGCTCCATATCACTTACTCATTTTTTAAACTGTCAGAATAAGCATAATCTAATACCAAAAGCAACAGAGATCTCTTTCTGTGCAAATTAGAATGAGGAAAAGATGTCACCAGATTTCTATTTTTCTTTTTCACTCAAACTAAAAACGCTACAAGTTTTCTTTGAATGCACTGACTGGTAGGAAGGTGGTCTCGAGTCTCCAATGCCCCCGGTCCTCTCCAAAGGTGGTGTTGGCTCTGTGCTATCAGCCACTGAGCCTGAATCTGTGTGAGCGCCGTCTCCAGAAACCAGCTGTCAACAAACAGTCAATCAGACCGACGAGACAAAAAGGGAAAATTTGTTTTAGCATCCAGAAAACAAAATGGGCATTCAAATTACAACAAACAGCTCCTGTGTTAACACAACATTCAAAGCCTGCGTGTTGAAACTTGTTTTACTGTCACTGCCTAAACGTTTCCCAGCATTCACATGTGATACAACGAACGCTGCGGATGCTTCGCTTTTATAACTAAAATGTGAGATACTACGATTTTTCTGTTGAGCGATCAAAGCTAAACACAGAAAGCAGCTGATTCAAAGAGTTAAGAAACAAATAGTCTGTGCCAAGATTTGTAGCTTGTCAGCTTGTTGTGTAGCTTACGTTACCATGGTGTGTACTACAAACATACAACGCCTGTTAGAGACTGAATTAACCCGATTACATGCACTTTATGGGTCATTCAATTTGTAGTTTTAAAAAAGTTTTTTTCTTATTTGAATGAATTACTTAGAAACCAAGATGAATAAACATGACAAATAATGAGTCTGGTATTATTTTTTCCGCATAAAACAGTAGAACTTGATGAAAACAAAACAAAACAAAAAAGATATGCTGTGCTGAAATTATGACAAAGGTTTATTTCCACTACTACTAGTCTGGACATTCTCATGAAGGAAAGCAGGATGTGTGTGTGTGAGGTCCAGCTGAGCACCACACTGACGTGGCGTAAACAAATAATTAGATAAGCAAACTTTGACAGCTGTCAGTGACACACAGTGTTGTCACACTGAGGATCTGGCCTGATGCAGATCAGACGACTGGACCCCAGAGGACAATCAGTCAGCTCACTGAAACAACAGATGAGGAGTGTAGATAAACAAATGGATGTAGCACTTCACTCTGTGTGGAAAATGTCATCAAGCCCAAAGAGATGAAAGTACTCACAGCCTGAGAGGAAGTGCCTTTTATTCCAACAAATAAAAACTTCAGAGACTCTCATGAATATTACCACAACAGAGACACAGATCAGACTCAGAATGATGGATGTTGCACCTAAGCACCCAACACTGTGCTGATGACTCTATAATTACAACCACAAAATGAAACATTAGCAAAGTGCATGAAGTTTTTACATCAAGACAGAGYAGTCTCTCTTCACTTTATTCTCTCCTCCCTGAGAGATTTAATTTTCTTGTTAGGTGACCCAAAGAGGCACCTCTTGTCAAGGACATTTTTTTCTTCCTATCCTGTGATTTCACTTGTGTTTAATCAAATTTGAGAAAAGAAGGGAGGCTATGCACCAGCACCAGATGACTTTCTGCTCTTGAAAAAAGATCATTATTTTTTAGTCTTTAAATTGGCTCCTATTATACATACATCTGTTGTCTAGCTTGTTTGATAACTTCAGTTCAATGTTCTAAAAAGCTACTACGGCCTATTTCAAACTACTGAAAAACAATACAGAGGAAAGAACAGCGCCCATAATATGTGCTGCTCCGAGGATCATTACATGATAATATTATCACATAGTGCGGCAACTCCCTAGAGATCATGATCATGGTTTGTGTCCAAGAGATGGAAATCACTGTTACGCAATTATCATGAAACAACAGTGAAAAGACACGAACATTGCAGTCGGAACTCTTACCCATGACACCACACGTCCATTGAAACAGGGCAGCTTAGCGTTGTCATCGGATATTTCTTCCTTTACAACCCTGTAAAGAAAGAGAAGCTCCTTTCAGCAAACTGTTACAAACGGACTAAATGAGCAATAAATCATGAGGGTGCAGCTGAAAGTAAGATAGGATGGACAGTTCATCCATCGGCCAAAACAGAGATTGTCAGCTGAGAAAACAAATACTGTTTTACTGGTGCGTTATGCACAATACTGTTACACACAGGGAGCCTTTGCAGCACAGTTAGAAAGCTTGAACAAAGCGTTTCCATACTTTGAATATAAACCGGGCTATTAAGCATAATTTGAGCAAAATTTGGTAATTTCAGAAACTGTTTTGGCACAGGTTAGGGCCAAAAAACACTGACAAAAACACAAACTAGAACAAGCTACATTTTACCACCAAACTTTAGATTTAGACACTCATGATGTTTCATCTATGTGTCGTCTTCTTTAGAGTCAAGATTTGTTAATAAAATGCTGCTTTTTGCAAATTTACTTTGCTGTGTTTTCAAGCACACTGAAGACTGACTAGAAATAGTCAAGGGGTCCCATCTGATAGTATTTTGTCCATGTCTGCATTAAATATAGCTTATCACACACACAAAAAAAAGCTTGTCACATATACATCTAGAGAAATTAGGTTCATGTTCGGTGTGTGTTTCATAGTAAATATATGCCCCTAATCAGTCTTCGTTTCTATTAATAGTTTAAAGTAAATGTTTCAATAGTTTTCTTGATTATAATAGCAGTTGGTTCTTGCCCCACCCTAGTTTGAGTTTATTCAGAAGCAACGCAAAGAAAATAACAGAGGCAAGTATTAAAAAGACAATCACTACTGTTCACTTTTCTTTCTTTAAAAGTTCAGTCTACAGCAACACAAAACGACTACTCTTCAGGCCGTGATGTTTAACACAAAAAGACATGCTCATAAAGCTGCCAGAGTGATGAAAAGGACATTCCTGTGTCCAACTCCACATTCCTAACAGACAACAGCAGCAGCAGCAGGGGCCTGCTGCTCTCAGCTCAAACTGACCGCTTACACTCACATCAGCTCGTTAGCATATGCTTCAATGCATTTAGCCAGCAACTGACAGCAAGAAAAACATCATTACTCAGTTGTGTCAACTATCAACTGTCTTTAGTTTATCCATTAAGAGTTTTAAAGTCAGTCTGTGCTGCGCACGACTCTTAACCAACGCCAAACTTGGTCAAACAAATCTGAGAAACACAGGACGTATAAGCTAACCACAGCAGCTCCAATGTAAACAAACGGGGGTCTGGAGGCTGACCTGATCCGCTGGTCGCTAGCTGCTAACAAAGAAACAGCACAGTAGGAAGCTGGCAAATGATCGATAACCTGCTAATGTCTAAATAAAAGCACTTAAATAATATTTGCACAACAGCTGAATATGTAGAAACATCTAAGCTATCCGTAATTTAGTGCTTAACATCGCTAGGAAAACTCAGAAATGATATGCTGACGCTACACACACACAATAAACCCATTTATTTACCCAAAGTCATCGTCCATAGACTTGAAGAAGAATTTGTAATTTGGTTTCTTGAGGACATTTTTGAAGTCTGCGAGGGTGACTTTGTCCGCCGGGACATTCAGCTTCACAAGATACGGCGTCTCCTGGTCGTCGAGGTGGTAGATAATTTTGGTTTCCCCCATCTCGGACTGTGGTGGTTAAGGTAAGGCAGGCTGGGTGCATCAAGCCAAAGGGCCTGGCAGGCTCCCTCTCGGGCCCCGACTCCCCGTGGCGCTGAAGCGGCAGTGTCGTGGTTCTCCCAGGTCTTGCTGACTTGCCGACTCGTTGCTAGGTCCTGGTTCTGTTTTTTTTTTTTTTTTTTTTTTCTTATGGCAGCACGTCTGCCTTTTTTATTGAACGAAGAAAAAAAAAAACTTGCTCCTCCACAAAGCGTCCCAGCACCGTCCGACAACGGAATCACCTTCTGACTCCGTTTATACGCCACTTTTATATACCCGCAAAAGCTTTCAAAAACTGAAAAGAAGGTTAACAATGCAGCAAAATAAACATTCTCAGAAGTGTCGGTTTTTCTTCTTGGTAACTGCCAACCACAGCACTTTGTTGGACACGAAACAGAAAAAAAGTCCAACCCAGTCTCGGATTGACGCTATCTACAGGACAGGAGGAGAACTGCAGCCACTATTTTTGTAAGTTTATTACCCAGTGGTTCCCAAACTTTTTGTCTTCTGACCCACAAAATATCCATGGCAAAAACTTGTGACCCCAAATATTACTGGTCTGAGTACATGAACACAGGGTTTTTGACAATCTAAGCAGCTTATATACAAATAAAAATGCTTATTTTTTTTTTACTTATTTTGTGTTTTTGTAATAATTACAGGGAATTTATTACATCAGCAATTATTGTATTACCCTTTAAATTGATTTCTGGAGATTATCCAAGGTGCTTCATGACCCATAATTGGGTCCCAAGCCCAACTTTGGGAACCAAAGTGCAGTGGTTCCCAAACTTTTCAGCTTTTGACCCACAGAATGGTACAAAACAGTAACAGAGGCCTGTGCCCCAAACTATTTTTGGATTACAAACTTTTGTATCAGGTCAACAAAACATGGGTATAGTAACAATATTTTTTATACTACATTTATCCATTTTAAATATACTAACCTCACTCATTTATAACAACTAAGGCAAAAATGTAATTAATTCAGAAAATCTTTTCAGGACCCCAACTTGACATTTCGGGACCCCACTTTGGGTCCCGACCCCAACTTTGGGAAACACTGCATTAGCCTAGTAGCAATCAATTAGGAAAAAAATGCAACCAAAATATTAGAATGCTCAAAAAATATGAATCGGGACTCTATAAAATTATAATTCAGAAGCTTTTTGGTCTGATTTCTTTTTCATGTTATAACACAATAGAAAAACCATAAATTCTAATTCATATCTAGACCACCAGACGTCATATTTTGTGTGCACTCAAGTAAATTGACTTTTCATACTAGAGAATTTGAGATGCATTTTATTTACAGAAATAATATAAAATATGTCTCAAAGTTATCACTGTGTAGGCGTACCTCGGTTCTCAAACAAAAACATTTTAATCTTCCAATGCTTTTCAATTTTTTCACTCACATACTAAAGTACCCACACCTTTCACGTTTAAAATATGTTTTCCAAATTCTAATTTTCCAATTTTCAAATCAATTTTTGGCCAATTTTGACACCTAAGTGCAAACATTTACTTTAAATGGGCAGTAGAGTCCATAGTAAATATGGATAACAGGAAGTATCAATTTGCTGCTTGTTTATGACTTTTAGTGTTTTTCAGTACTAAACAAGGTTTATTTTTAGAGCAACTGCTCTGATTCAGAGTAAATCAGGAAACGCAGCACATATTTTAATGTTTGTAAAATATGGCAAAATCTTTGCATTTAAGTTTTGTAAGATTTGCATCTTATAATTTAAACAAAACCTGTGACTACAGCACTGTGCGAATATCAAGTACATTTATTTTTGTAATTTTCTCTCAATGAAACAAATTACGTTAGGATAGTTTCTGAACCTATGTATAACCATTCTTAAAAACACAAATTTACCAAATCTTATTTTCAACTTTAAAAAAAGGAATTAAGCCTGGAAACAAGTGTTATTCCATACACGATCTGGAAAATACTCAAAATACATCTCAAATTTTTTTAGTCAGAGACTGAGTGTGTGTGTGTGTGTAGATTTATGCTTTAACAACTCTTAAATTTAAAGAGACTGTGAAGTGTGTAAAGTCAGACAAAAGGCACTATTAAAATGAAATAGTATGTACAGCAAGCAACCAAAATTTATTGGACTGAATTAACTTTGATTTGCCATTACAGACCTTACAAAGCACAGAGACAAAGAAAATAACATCAACTGCTGGACAGTTATTCAGCAATTTTCATCTGATAAACTGTGTACAAAATGAAGTAAATACAGGATTTTTACCTGTTTGGAGAGTTAAACAACACAGATCCCTTTCTAGTGAAAGTTTGAATGAGTGGACAATAAAACATTTTTTTCTAATACAAATACAAAAAGCAGGTGAAAGGAATTGGTCTCTTATTTAAATATGCTCTGAAGAGAGCTGGAGAGCAGAATGGTGACAGATTTAATCATCTAGAAAGTCATCATCGAGATTAACGTCTGTGGTGTCGATGTCACCGAGCTCCATGTTGTCCAGGTCCATCTCCAGCTCATCCAGTGTCTGCTACAAAACACAAAGAAGAAACGTTATTCTTGGAAATTTTACACTTACTTAAAAAAACACACACAATTTTTTTTTTTATAATACAAAATAAGAAAACAGAAGACAAACCTTATCTTTTTGTGTCTCTGAGAATGTTTCTGCCTCCTCTTCTTCAGGAGCAGCAGGTTCAGGTTCAGGTTGTTGAGGCGTCACGGGAGACACTGGGACTGAGCTGGAGTCTTCACTCTCTTCTGTCTACAAAGAAAAGTGGGATTAATGAGAAAAGTTTCAAATTTACAAAGCATGCAACACTTAGACAACCTTGTGCAAGCTCAAATATTTGAAAATGACAGACTCTACAGAGTAATAATTTAGGACGGCTATGGAGCCTAAATGGTACTGTAGACTAACCTTGGAGACGAGAGGAACAAAGATGCCCTTGGGCTCATAGCCCTGAGCCTCCTCCAGAATATTTCTGTCTTCATTGGGCTAAAATGAGGAATAAAAGAAATATGAGCATTGTTATGGTATTCAGAATTTTTAATTAAAGGAATTGGTATTATTGATGTAAAACTGCTGTTTCTTTTAGCAAAAAGATGCAGTTTGTCACTTTGACCATAAGCCTTACAGTAACGAGGGGATAATCTGTAGCAGGTCTGGTGCTGCCCAAGCACGACTCTCTCAGGTAATGCTCCGCTGCGAAAGCTTCTTTCAGGCCAGGGAAGAGATTTTCATATTCTGTTGGGTCTGCTAAAGATTCAGCAGCCTGTAATGACAAAGAAATACTTAAATATTCTAACTTTGCTTCTATTTGTAAAAGCAAACCCATATGCATCGATGTAAAGGGTCTTAATTAAAACAAGTCTGACCTTCCGGTTGACTTTGGCTAAACTCTCCCTCCACAATTTAACCACACGAGACACCTGGCTGGGTAGGTATGTGCGAGCCAGGAAAGCAGCTTCAGGTAGTCTGTTAGTCTTGATTAGAAGCTCCAAACACTGATCCAGTCTGAAGACAAGATGATATAATTAGTTACACTGATAGCCACACTTTCTGTAAAAGAAATACAAAGTGTTTTTGAGTCTCTCATATCAAACACTTACTTTCCCTGAAGGAAGTACGTCATGAAGGCCACGTTGTTTTTGCCGTCTCGTTCTGCGCCTTCGGCCAGTTTACCTACCATGGTGGCATTACCCGAAGCTGTGGCGAGGAGGAGCAGGCCACCGTAATCCTGAGCGTGGTGCAGGCACTCCTGGGCCAGGCCAAACTGGCACTTACTGATAGCCAGCTCTGCAAGCTGCTTCCATTTCTGCTCCGACTGCAGAGATGAGAAACAAAGAACGGCAATGTGTTTGAGCTGTGATGACACAGGCTGCAAAATATGGGAACTGTCTGGAGAATCGCCTGAAAGGTCTTAAGATGGGAATAATATCAATGGTTCTAACCTCTGCTTCCACTGCCAGCTGGTAGGCGATCTTTAACTCCCCCAGTTGCAAGGCCAACTCAAACCTGTGTTCAGGGTCTGTAGACACTGCTAACGCCTGCTGTTTGAAGCCCTGAACAAACAAACAAATCAAGCCCATCAAACCTACAGAAAGCATTTAACTATATATCATTCTCAGGAAAAGCACACTAGCAAATGAGTCTAATAATTTCTAGTCTGTTTTTAAAGCATATTAGAATTAATTCCTGTTAATGTCTGTTTCTTCCCGTACCTGCTTCTCTAGGAAATGTGCCACCCTGGTCCTCTGTTCCTTAGGGATGGTTGGTAGCACCTTGTCGGCCATTCCAAAGTCCCTTCTCATTACAGCAGTCTGGTACTCCAGGACAGAGACCAGGAGGGAGTAACTAACTATGTTGAGCTCCTTGTCTCCGAGGTACAGACGATCATCTTTAGGTATGTAACCAAGCAGGTACATGGTTCTGCAAGAGAAAACACCAGGCGTTGCAACCAAAATAATGGTTTAGAGCCGCTCTACTAATATAAAATGAATGCACTTTGCTGTAGGCAGAGGTAGCATTGAAATTGTCTGATTTAATAAAAGTCAAGCCTGAGCAATCGGGTCTTACCTGTCCAGATGTGCAATAGTTACAATCTCTCCTCCTACATAGTAATTGAGTCTGTTTACAGAGCTGGTGTAGATGAAACAGTCTCCAACCCAAAGCCCAGTCTTCACAATCTCCTGGATCTCTCCCTGGACCTGAAAATCAAGCAAATACAGATGTATATGAAAAATACTTTTATTAAAATATTTTAGGGAAAGCTTTGGAACAAAAAATAAGACAGTATTTTGTGGTTTAAAACTTGTGAACCGTTTGCTTTCCTAACAGGGCAGAATCGCACCATTACGACACAATGTCTGTCAGTTCAAAGAGTCGTTTTATTGTCTTTGAAGCTCGCTCTTGCTCATTTGGAACATCTGTTACTGAAACACCGCGAGGGGAATCCTCGTCTCCTTCATGGACGACACTGCAGCAATCAGCAAATAGCTGGTGCTATTTTAGCACTGACAGTAAAAATAAATGTTTCCAACAAAGTGCATTCACCCACTTACTGACCTCAAAGGCATCTTCAATCCCATCCTCTGTCACTCCTTCATTGTTCTCTTGAGAGGCAGCCACTTTATCTGCCAAGTAACGTAGAATGAAGAAGGACTCCTCAGTAGCGATGCAGACCAACTCACCAGAGTCTGACCAAAATATCTGGACAAAACATAAAAGGTTAAATGAAGCAAGATCATTTACAAAAACTACTGTATAATAGGCCTCTAATAATCCTTGAATACATTATCCAAATATATAAATAATGGAAATACACAAAATAACCGTCTTACATGCTTGGGCTGAATTTCTATGCGACGGATTAGCTCTGTGTTCTCCCAGTCATAAAATGCCAAACCATTCACTGATCTCACCCCGAGCAAGAAACCCCCATAGATCCCTGCAGAGCAGAAATGCCAATACATCCAGTAAATACCATCATCACGTTCGAGCTGCTTTCAAAACTGCAACAACAATCTGATTACCTTCTGCTCCAAAGTCAGGCTTAAAAGACTTCTTTTCTTTGAAGTTTTTGAAGATTTTGACAACACTGCTGCTTTCTCTGATGGCATATCTGTTAGGAATATGATATAAATCAAATACTGTCATGTTTATTAGTTCCTTAGCAATAGTTTCAACAGATTAAACATTTTAAATGTAGCAACTCTGACTTACTCAGAAGAGTCGTGTGCCCAGACAAACTCTTGAGCCGAGCCAAAGCTCTTGTTCCTCAAAGCCATGGCCGTATAGATGATGTACTCGCCATCTCCACACACCACAACAAACCTGGAACACACAATTTTTGATACATCAAGATAAAATTTGCTCCTACATTCCGCACAATTCTGACCACCAAGGTTTTGAGATGATCATGTATGATGATGAAGTTATAATAGTAAAAATAACCAAAGTGTGAGCACCTTCCATTCGGGTTATGCTGGATGGTTTGAGGGTAAATCTCACAACTGCCCATATCTTTGACCGCCAGAGGCAATCTCTCTCCATCTTTGATTTCAGCGTCACCCATGGCCTTCAGGTTGGCTTGCTGTATTTCACTATGTTTAGCCCAGATGATTTTGCCATTGGTGTCCATAGACATGGCTGGCTCCTCCCGGCCAACCTACACATCAGACAGAAAACAGAATAAAAGTCCAACACACATGAAAACAACTTAGTTTAAATATTATATTTGACACAGCAATTTAACCTACATTATTCTTCATTTTGCCAATAGGTTTCCTGTGTGACTTTTTGCAATTGTACATAAAACTTACAGTTCTGTCTATTTCATCTGCAGAAGTTTTAAGTAAAAACTAAGCTACAAACAACAACTGCTTAGAATAAGTTATTTTGACTCTAAATAGCAATATAATAACATTTCTTTCCACCAACTTTGATAATGATGCTGCCTTCATCATATCCCAGCGCCACATTGTTGGAGCCCCTGAGGCCACACACACACCACACTCGTTCCATGCCGTAGTTGAGTGTGCTCTCCAGCCGGTAAGTGCTCGAGTGCCAAATTCGTACAGTGCCTACAGCGAAAGCAGAAGAAAAAAAAGTGATGCAATGTAGAAGAGAGAGGAAATGTCTGTGAGCATTTGTGTTTAAGGATGAGTGAGATTTTTGCTCACCATCCTCTGATCCTGTAATGATTATGGGCAGCTCTGGGTGGAAGCTGACACAAGAGACATTCTGGGCATGACCCTCCAGAGTCTGAACACAGGTCTTGTTCTATAAACACACAAAAAAAATGCTTAAACATTTGTGAAGCTAGGACCACAGAACATTCTTTTCACAAAGTTTTTAGCATTCTATACCTTGACTTTGAAAGTAAAATGAAACTAATTTGTCATTTTTATTTTGTGAATTTTTCTAAATGATTTTTAGTTGATGGCACAAACAAATAACCAAATTGTTCTCTAACCTGGTAGTCCCAAATCTTGACTTGACGGTCATCAGCCCCAGATATCAGGTAGGGTTTGTCTCCTCCACTATAGTAGTCAATACAGTTTACTCCCTTCTCATGACCCTCCAAAGTGAAATTGGGAGATGAAGACCCCAGCTGCCAGACCTATAAGCCCCACAAAAAGGGAAAAAGAAGAAATAAATGTTTCCAACTGTGCCTCACTCATCACATCAAAACAAAAAGTTAATTTCCCACCTAAACAAATACAAAGGAGACATTTTCTTACACACAGCAATACAAAACAATAAAACAAACCTATCTAAATAATAACAAAGTCAAAGTAATAATTTACCTTAATCGTTCTGTCCAGAGAGGCACTGGCAAACTGGTTGTTGTCTTTAGGGTTGATAACAATCTGCATTACGTAATGAGTATGACCCTCAAACACCTGACTACAAGACCACTTCTTCTCCCAGTCCCACAACTTGATCAGCATGTCATCTGTAAAGACACAATAATGCAATCATGCTTAAATGCACACAGAAAAGGCAAATGATGTTGAGATACAGTTTAAAGTATGTTTAAAAAAATGTTTCTAGCGTACCGCTGCTGGTGAGGATGTATGGCTGGGTTGGATGAACAGCAATGCAACGAATGTAGTCAGAGTGGGCCTCAAACATGTGGACCCGCTCCAAGGTGTTGTAATTGAACACACGGATCTGCATGTCATCCTGTACAGAGAAATCAAATAAAGAATGACGAACATATGTCAGTTTGTCTTATATGCTAGAGAGTCTTGTAGTTTTTGTTGTAAATATTTTAGCTCTTTTAAAACATCACTTTGCCTATAGTCTAGTTTGTGCTAGATGTTTGCAACGTCATATGGAAAAACAGATGATCTCAACATAAATGAATAAGTTCCTCACTGCTCCAGTGATGACCCAGTTCTTCCTCGCCACAAATTTGGAGGCTCTGACAGGCAGGTCACACACTTCAAAGGTCTTGACCAGAGTCTGGGAAGAAACAAAAACAGTGTCTTTGTTATTAACATTTATGCACCTGTCATACACAGTCAGCTACTCGGTGGAGCAGCATTTAAAAGGTGTTTAACTCTTCTCGTTTTGTTGTCATACCTGTGTTTCGTGGTTCCACACGCAGACGCTGCCGTTGTAGAGACTGGCCAACATCCATGGCTCGGACGGATGAAGGTCCACACTCTTTACTCGGTCCGACCTGGCTGTTAGCCTCCGCTTAATGTCCAGCCTCAGAGGCTTAAAAAAAACAAACGACTTATATGAAATAAACCAAAGTGTTACGGCTATTATTTGTAGACTTACTGACTGTACTAGCTAATGTTAGCAAGGTACGCTGAAAGTAGATGATTTATGCAATTTCAGCAAATAAACATCAATGCATCCTAATACTAAATCGGCAAATATCTCAAGAAATACGAAACATGAAAAGCTAAAAAGCTTCGATTAATAATTTTTGTACAGTAAGCTATCGTGCTAACTCAAGCCAAGGTAGTTAGCCGCCAAGCTATCAGTGTTTGACTTTATTTTTTACAATTTCTTTAATAAAATATATAACTTAGTTACCATACATAGGATAAAAACGTACATATGAATACATAACATATAACTTACCATGTTTTTATCCCCGTTTTGTCGCAATTAGATCCAATAAATGATAACTGAACACTTCAGTCGGGTCTAATGTTGGCGACTGAGCAGTACGCTGGATACTGACGTGGAACTTCCTGAAATATATTATCGCGAGATTTTGGGCCTGGAAAGATGATGTGACACGAAGCACAAGTAGGGGTCTCTGCGGACGAGTTGGCGTGTCACAAGGAAAGGCGATTCTAAAGCGACATGCCTGATTTGACGGACTTTGTTAAAGGAACACACCTGAATGGACAAGCAAAAAAGGGGCGATACCGTACGGCACCACCTGATTAAACAAGAACAAAAGGGGCGTTACTTTACGGCACCACTTTTTCTGGAGAAACCTGCTTGGGTCACATTTCTCCTGGTTAAAATAGAGTGTTGGGGTCTGGGTCAGGCTGTAAAGAGATCAAGCAGGATCTAAGGATACCGTCATGTAGGCCTCGTAGCCCACAGTGTTTACGCTTTTGATACGCCCACTCTTAGGACACGCCCACTTTGATTCCGCAGATAACCCCTTCTCACACGGAGCTCAGTGCCACGGTGTGAAGGATGATTTTACAGGAATTTTTATGGCAGTCAAAAAGCTATTTTCCACCTACTTTTCGGATAATACATCTCCGCATCTATAGAACTAATAAAAAAAAGAAAATACTTAATATGATGAATACATTAGGTTTGTTTGGCATCAAGAAAATATGATTTATTTACAATAAAAACCCTCTTAAAGATGCTTGTTGTAAAATGCTTAACCTTTCAGTCAAATCTCTAGAATAAAACGTGAGCCTCTGGCTATCCATACCATACTAACTAAAGCAGGTTTGTCCAGACTTAAGCATAAATTTAGTATTTTGAATGTGCTAGGCTAATACACAAAGTTTAGGTTTTCTAAAATTAACTACCAGTTTGAGTTATACAGTAAGTATGAACTATAATTTTACAATATAATCACAGATAATTAAGCTAAAGCAACATCCTTTTAGACAAAGGAAGTCAGCCCACTTGAGACTGTTTTGTGGACTATAGTCACAGGGTTTACATTCATTAATGTGTCCTACCACAGGTTTTCCAGCAGATGGAGATATAAATATTGGTTTAGAAGTATAACATTTTGCAAAAATGTGCAAAACTAAAACATTTTTAAAGCCATTGTCAGTTTGTTTGCACAAGACAATTTACTGAAATCCTGCAAAAATATACACAAAACATTCATAATAGCACAAAAAATACAAAGACATGCACCAGCGTGAATAATTAATGCACCTTTATTGATTCAAAATGTTGAAGAAATGTGTAAAGTGTCACCAGAGTCAAACTTTTATTAACTTCAGAGACATACGGCATAAAAACAGATGTTAATCTTTCCTCTTAAATACTTGGAGACAAACTACATCTTCACATGTCAGCTCCTGTGAAACAAAGACACAATGATGTTTTTCAGAAGATGAATTATTTGAACAAAAGGGTGATTATTGTCACATTAATAAACTTGAATAAACTAACAAGTGTGTGACCTACCAGGTAGAGTTTGTCTGCTTCAATCCAGTGCTTCCAGGTTCGGTTGGATTTTTCACCTTTCTGGGTGCACACCAGTTTGTCGCCTTCCCACCTGACCAAACTCTACATAACAAGAAAAATGTAACTTTTTTAAGGAATGAAGCTTACAGTAATTAAAAAAAAAATCAAATATACATACAATCATACTGAGACACACATAAGTTTTTATTTCTATCCTTAAATTTACTTCCATTCACTTCTGTAGCTAAAACCTAACCACCCATAACCCCAACCTAAACTCAGGGGTTTGGTCCCCAGAAGGACTACAACAGAAGAGGTCCTAAAATTGTAACAAAAAACAAATACACATGTAAAAACACAATAAGTTTATATCAGCAAACGAACAATGTTTCACAGAAGGATTCATATTTAGAGCTGCTCTAAAACAACTTTATAGAGTTTGTTAATTACACAATCTGACTCTGAAACACAAATATGAAAGCCCTTGGCACAGAGCTTATCAACAGAAATCAGAGGTTCTGTCATTCGGTCAGGAAATTACATAACTTCAAACTCTGTGTTTCAGAAAAAAAAGACAAATTTGTCAAAATAAATCATGAAAGAAACAACAAGACATACGGAATAATAAAACATATTCCTGGTTTGTATGGTATCTAGATTTATAAAATTATGTTTGTCCACGTCAGATGATGTCCATCTGATGACACTGATGTTTAACCCTGACAGTGACACAGAGGTATGAGTGGGGTTACTTTGGGTTATCTGGGTCTAAAGAGATACCTGAATTTACCAAACTGTCTGACAAAATGATGTCTGGTCTACATAACAGTTGACAAAAGTTCGAGAAATAATACAGTGTAATAATAAGACAGAAAATATGCAAAAAATAAATCTAATCAAAGTGAAAATAAAAGACCATATTTCTCGACTCAAATCCAATCACCTCAAGATGATGCAAGGAGTTCAGTTAGTTTTTATTTTTTAAAATATGTAACTGTTACTATGATGCTTAATGACACACAATACTGTCAGAATACAAGAGTGTAATAGACTTAAAATATTCCTAATTACATCTGTTGCAACACACAGAGAGAAGTTGCCAGTTTTGACCCTTCTCTTGTCACAAATGAGCAGTGGATGAGAAACGAACTAACCTTGATATTTCTGTTGTCCAGGCCCTTGGTGTACTCATCAAACTCCACTCCGACAGTGAAAGCCAGCTCATAATTCCTGAAAGTGCTTAGAGTTTTGAAGTTAAACTGGTCTCCGTCTTGAACAACCACCTTGGTCTGGGACAGGGAAATGGCGATTTTCCTTGTAGCGAAATCAATATCTGGAACAAAAATAAATGATATCAAGTCCATATTTTAACAAGAACAGGTTTAGAATTACTTTTGTTTTATCGCAAGTACAACTTTTTTTGTGTTGTACTATTTATAACATTCTTAATAACAAATAGTTTTCATAGATAATTAACTAAGTTTCTCACTCAGTGCTTTCAGGTAATCCTCAAATTTGTCGCTGCTTTCCAGAACCCATTTGCCACTGAAGTCTGCAGGCATGGTGGCAGCTGGTGACTCTGTGGCAAGCAGACTTTAGACAAAGTCAGGAGGAAGACAGGGCTGCAGTCCTCCAGGTTTTTATGAGTCAAGGGGCACCAGGGCAGAGAGAACCAAGGCAGGGGTAGAACTGCAGAGGGGGGGATTTCATGTGAATACTGGACAAAGGTTATCAAGGCTGAACAGACAGGAAACATAATCAGTTTTTTTTAAATAGGCACTTTTAAGCTAACACACACACAGACCCAGAGAGAGATGTGTGCAACAGACATCATGTACTGTTTCATCAGTGATGTCATGCCAACATTTTCCAATCTTTATTAGCTAATTTACCTGTTAGAGTAAAAAAAATGTAAAAATCAGAACGTCTGAATTTTGAACATAAAGGGTTGATAACGTTCAACTATACTTGTAGGCTAGTGAATTAAAAAACAGACAAAAGCAAAAGTATGACACATTTTTCATTTCAAATGCACAACACATAAAAATGTCTGTAAACCATAAAAACAAGCATTTAAAATGAAAACAACAAAAAATTGCTCAATTTCTAATATTCACATGAGAGTCAGTCCACCCAATGGGTGCAGTTTGCCTGTTGTAACTCTTCCAAATTAAAATGAATGTTGTATCTTTTTTCAGCCCTGAATCTAATAACACATATATTTAATTATTCAAAACAGGTATGGTTCAATCTCAGTCAGCTTTATTTAATTTTTTACAAGGTTTATAATTCAAAGAGGGTTACATCTTTCTCTGTCCTGTTACCAAAACTCATTTGACATCCAAAAAGCATGTTTAAAAGCATGTTAACTAATCCCTTTGATTTTACTTCAAGATAGTGTTTATTTTAAAGAAACTGTGGACTACATTGTCAAAAAAAAATCAACATTCATTACTAAAAAGTCTTTATATATGCATGCATGTTGTATTTTTCTAAACTATGCAAAGTTATTTTTATATTTTCAAGAAGACCTAAACCTGAAACTGATCAAATTTTTTAAATGTAATTTATTAATCAAATAGATAAATGATGGATCAAACATAATTGGAAGAAAGTTATCTTTATTTATTTTAGAAATCAACTGCCCACCATGGGTATTCAGATTATAAAACTGATCTTAAATCTCAGCAACTTCAGTAATTTCAACTGAAAATGGTAAAAATGATGAATACTATTACACTGAATATTAACAACAAACCAGAGTTTTACTGTTATTAGCACTCAGTCCTGTTACTCTTTATATGAGTAACAGGACTGAGTTTTTAACATAGAATTAGCAAAAACATGAAATATAGCTATGGCAGCTTTGCTAATAGCACAAGGACACTGAGCACATTGTAGGATTTTCCCAAAATATTTATTTTAAAAATAAGCAAATAACATCCAAGAGTGGGCGGCACGGTGGCTCAGTTGGTAGAGCTGATGCCTCTCAGCAAGAAGGTCACCGGTTCAAATCCCCGTCCGGGGACCTTTCTGGGTAGAGTTTGCATGTTCTCTCCGTGCATGCGTGGGTTCTCCCCGGGTACTCCGGCTTCCTCCCACAGACCAAAAACATGACTGTTAGGTTAATTGATAACTCTAAATTGTCCATTTTAAATTAATTTATTTTATGCCCACAATTTAATTTTTTGAATTGTCTATTTTTGTTATTGTTTATGTTAAAATATATATATAT